GGAAAATGGGAGGGAAGGGAGGGATAAGAGTGGGGAAAAAGAAAGGGGGTATTACGATTAGCATGTATAATGTTGGGGGGCGGTCACAGGGAGGGCTGTGCAACACAGAGAAGACAAGTAGTGATTCTACAGCATCTTACTACGCTGATGGACAGTGACTATAGTGGGGTTTGTGGGGGGGACTTGGTGAAGGGGGGACCCTAGTAAACATAATGTTCTTCATGTAATTGTAGATTAATGACAACAATAACAACAACAAAAAAATGGGTACATTCTCCCTAGCATCTCCAGAAACTTCCTTCAGCTTTAGGCCTTGGTCTGTTTTAGCATCTCCATTTTCTCAGCCTTGGATGACACTCTCAGGAAGAGGCTAAGAAGAGAAAGGGAAAGATGTTAACTATCAAAGAAATAGATGGATTTGTATAATCTCAATAAAAACCAAAGGAGAAAAGTTTTTTACAAAGTAAGAGGTGGTCAAAAAAAGTGAAATACTTTGAAAAAATTAAAGCAGACAAGAATGGAGCAAAAAATCACTGTGTTTAACAATTATGAAGTGCTTTTAAGAGAATCCATACGAGAGGTAAGGATGGAAAAAACTGGTCAAGAAATAGGTGTAAGAGCATTAATAATGTATTTGTACTCAGGACACAATCATAAATGCTCCTTAAAACGCCACATTGCCCTATTTATATGGAGCTAAAGAAGAACAAGAAAATCTCATAAAGGAATGAAACTCAAGTTTAGAACCTAAAATAATTTTCATAACTATTTTATGACATTGAAGCATCAGGGAAAGAGGGATAACATCTTTTTTCAGTTTGTATTTCCTTAGTTACTTCCCTGTCCCAGTGACTTCTACTCCATTAACAGGTATTTCTTGTACTCCTAAGTGACCAAATTAAGTTTATTTCCAATACAAATGCTGTGCCCTAGGAAAGAAGGGTTTATGTTATACTTACCGGGGAAGGTACTGTCTTCTGGATTAATTGAAGCACTGATACTTCTTTTCAGGAGGTGATAGACATTTGCTGCTGTTAAGTCTGAGAAAGAAAAGACAAACTAACTCAGTGAGCTCGAGTTATGCAATCTAGGCGTATTCCAATTCCACCATTAGAGACTCTCAAGAATAATAGGTTATACATAAAAGAACTACACACTCTGTTCAAGATTTGAATAATAAATCTAATGCAAGCAGAGAAAACAGGAAAGGCTCCCAGTTTGTATATGCTAGCCAGTTGACACAAATCCAGAATTTCCCCAAAAGAACAATTCTAAGCATAGAAGGGAAAACCTTTCACTCCTCAAATTGTCTGCTAAATTAAAACAAGTAAATAAATAAACGCTATATAGATTCCAGACAGGAGCAACACAGCAGTGCAATCTCTAACGGTTATTTTAACTTCTGTTTTAAATTTATCATTTGCTTTTTAACTTGGTTTAAGTGCAGGAAGTTTCCTCCCTTTAGAATCTAATTTCTAGCTGAGTAAGACCCTTTGCCCTTGTTCATTTACGTATTACCTGCATTTGGAATACAAGAGGTAGAAATACCCGTTGTATGCATGTCTTTCCAAATAGCAGGAATTCCATTACTAAGGCACAGATAATTTATTCGATTAAATTTTCACTGTGCCAAGAACTTCTGAGAGCTGGAGTCTTGTACTCACAAATTTGTCCCTGTTTGTTCACGCTGATATTTTCAGCCCTCAGTAGGTCGATCGCAGATAGTCACAGCTTCCAGGGATAACTCAGGATCCAAGTCTCGATCACAAAACCCAAGTTTCTTCCCGTCCCCGCAAGCTTTTCCCGCTCCCGCTCCGCCCAGCGCTTACCCGACTGCTTCTCCGTACCCTCAAAGGACGACACCCCAGGCCCATGCTCCGCCTCCCCAGCCGCTGCCGATGGGACTTTTCCTTCCCCCCAGATCACCAGTAGCAGGTACCGATCCATCTCAGAGCTCGGTGCTTCCACATCCAAACAACCGCGCGCTGCTTATGCGCTTCCGGTTCCCTTCTTCTTAGGTCGGCTGGAAATTGTGCGTCCTCGGTCGGTTTTCCGCAGCTTTTCCAGGAAGCGGATTCGTTTCGGGAGTTATTCTCTCGATAACTACATTATTTCCTCCCCTCATGACGAAATTGCTACCGTGGGAAGAGTGAAGGAGACCCAGGGAAAAGGGAAAAACTGACGATTGCTGGTTGGCGTAGGAACTGTGATGTTTGGGTATATGCGTTTCTCGCCGAGCCAATAATGCTGCGGGTCTGGCCTTGGATCCTGCCAGAAGGACGGTCCTGCTGGTGGGGAAACATGTCGAGTTTCTCTAGGGCGCCCCAGGTGAGATCGGACTCTTGTGCTTGATGGGATTCACTGGCAGAAGGAAGTCAGGGGCTCTGGCGGATTTAGTGAAATTTGAGTTGGCAGGAAATCCGAGCCCTTGGCCAGGAGATGCCTCGGGATAGCACAACGAGGTCGTGTTTCTGGCCACCACTTGGCTGTCGTTCTCTTGGTACTCTTCCTCTCTCCTCTTTTCGGTCAGCCCTTTTCATGCCTTTTTTCCCGGAAGGCGTATATGGAGAGAAGATCAGAGAGGTAATAAGGTGGACCACTTAGGACATTGTGGACCATTGTTAGAATTTTTATTTTTTTCTGAGTAAAATAAGGATATTTTGGAGGGTTTTGAGCTAAGGAGTAACATGATCTCACTTAGGTGTTAAAAGGAGCACTCTGGCTGCTGACTCAAGAATAGACTGTCCATAGATGGGGATTGGTGGAGGATAGAAGCAAAGAATCCATCTGGAGGCTGTTGCAATAATCCAGGCTAGATATGATAGTGGCGCAAACCAAACTAGTAAGAGGGTAGTGTTGGAAAGTGGTCAGGTTCTGTTTGAAGGTGGAGCCAATAGGATTTCTTGGAGGATTCATTGAATGTGAGCCGACAGCAAGAAAAGAAACAAGGATTACTCCCCAATTTTTTGTTTTTTTCAACAACTGGAACAGTGTGCCATCAACTGAGGCTGAAATTGGAGTAGGTTTCAGGTGGAAGAGTAAGAGTTCAGTGTTGGGTATGTTTGTCTTCCCCCAATCCCTGCTCAAAGTGTGATTCCTTCCTTTGACTGTTACCCATGCCTGCTGAGGCAAATACCGAAAGTAAAATTAAACATATTAAAACTTTTATATCATATCAATTTGACATCGTGACAGCATTTTAATTTTTTTAAACAAATGTGGGGTTTCTTTCTATCTAAGTATTGATCTTCAGTGAAAATGGGGGGAGAACTTGGCTTTTGGTACATATGGCTTAAAAAACACTGTAGTGCAGATGCCAAGCAGACAGTTGGTACAGGTATAAAGTGGTCCAGGTTCAAATAAAGAGGTCCGGGCCAGAGATGTAAATTGGGAGTCATAAGCATACAAACGGCTTTTAAAGTTATAGATCTGGATGAAGTCTCTAAGGACGTGTGTAAAGAAAGACCAAAAACAGGGTTCTGGGTTCATTTCTGCATTTTAGAGGCAAGAAATAAGAGAAGAACCAACAAGTAGGGAAAAAACCAACAGAGGGTGGTGTCCTAGAAGACAGGTGAAGAAACAATACCCAGAAATAATTGATCAACCGTATCAAACACTGAGATGACCAATGGGTTTAGTAACATGAAGTCATAGTAACACTGGCAGACGGTAGAGTGATGGCGATGGTGGAGTGATGGCGATGGTGGGGGCTGTGCTGTGGGAGGATAAAAGGTTGAAATAAGCTGGAGAATGGAAAGAGACAAATTGGTGTAAAGACAACTCTTTGGATGAATTTCCTACAAAGGAGAGGAAAGAAATGCGGCAGTAGTGGTGGGGAAGGAGGTCAGGAGGGTTTTAACTTTATTATGGAAAATTTCAGTCACGTATGAAAGTAGGTATCACCCATTTTCAAAGAACTCATACTCACTGTTGTTTCACCTGTACCCCCCCATTCACTTCTTTTCCTTATGAATATGAGGTAAATCTCAGACATACTTATTTCAGTAAGTAAATATTTCAGTATGTTCACTACAGGATAAGGATTCTTTTAAAAAATAAAATCCCAATAACATTTATCAAAGATAAAAGAAAGAATAACTAATTCCTTAATATCATCAAATGTCCACTATGTGTTCACATTTCCAATTTTTTTCATATAACATGAATATATAATATTTTTACAGTTTGTTTCTTTGGATTAGTATCCAAAATGCAATAAGTAGCTATGTTTTTTAAGTCTCTCCTAATACTGATTCCTGTTCCTATTTCTTCTTTGTACTTTACTGAAGACACACGGTTGTTGTGTAGGGTCCCTGCTGTTTGAATTGTTTTATTTAGTTATAAGCTGAGAGAGGTAGGAAAATATGTGCTACAAGTTGTCTTTATTTGCAGAAGACGTGATCAGCTACATAAAAAAATCAGAATCTACAAGAAGCTACTAGAACTGATAAGTTTAAAAAGGTTGCCGGTACAAGACCAATATAAAAAAATCAAGTGTATCCAAGCACCAAAAAATCCAAAACTTAAATTAAAAATACAGTACCATTTACAGTAGTATCAAAATATATGAATTATGGATAAATCTGACAAAAGATGTGTAAAGGGAATGAGGTAGAAACTAGAAAAATGAGAACAGGAGAAAACAGGAATTGGTGAGCAGTGTTATAGACCGATTTGAGATTTATGATAATTAAAAGTAAGCCAGTTAGCTTGGTTGTATATTTCCCATCATTGTGTAGCAACTTGTATATATACATAGAGAAAGTGTCTGGTCGAGATCTTTCTGGCCTGGAATTTTCTTAAGAGTTTGAAGGCACTGATGGGTACTGCAAAGACAGCAGTCTATGCCTGAGGCAGCCTCAAGATGTCTAAGGCAGCTTTTTAAAAATTTAAGCTTAATCAACATCATCTATCTGTTGTTGCCCAGCTACATGCTGCTGTTTAACTCTCCCTTGGAACTGAACTCCTGAACAATCCTCAGTTCCCAATTGGCCTATCATCTTTTAATCTATCTATTAACCTCAAAATATTTTTGAAGATCTTCATAAACAACTTCTACTTTTATAAGAGCTTTTCATTACATCTTCAGATTCTATTCTTTGTGATATAAAAATGTCATAATGTAAAAGAAAAAATATTTATCTGAAATGTTTTTAATAAAGCGTGATCCACATTGCTAATAGAAAAGCAGTCAGGGAAAATTACTGTGTTAATCTTTGCAGAATAGTGAGAAAAGACCCTCCCCACCCCTTTTCCAGAAATAGAAAACAAAACAAAAAAAATTACTTAGTGATTGGGTCTATTTTCAAAACAATTACTAACATTAACAGTAGAATACAAGCGATGATATGTAATGATCATCTCATTTTACTTAGTATTTCCATTTTAATTAGTATTTTGTTTTCTCTCTTTTTTTAAGCAATGGGCCACTTTTGCTCGGGTTTGGTATCTCTTAGATGGGAAAATGCAGCCTCCAGGCAAACTAGCAGCTATGGCATCAATAAAACTTCAAGGACTGCATAAACCTGTGTACCATCAACTGAGTGAGTATCATTTTAAATCTGTCATTAGTAACCATAGTTTTCATGCCAGAATAGAATCTTAAAGAAGTTTGAGCTGTTTTTAAGGACTTCATTTTTTCCCCTGGGATCCCTTGTTCCATTCTTGCTAAAAATCCACTAGGCACGTAAATGAATTTGGTTTATCCATAGGAAAACCACACTGACCAGTTTGCCTGAGACAACCCCATTTTACACCATTTCCCCAGCAAAATTATCAGGAGCCCTCTTTTCATTTTTCAGAAATATCCTAATTTTTATTGTAAATTAAATGTCCACTCTTATTCATGACTCTTCACGTGGCAACATATATTTGAATAGACAGTTTTTGAAAATGAGGAAGTGAAGTTTGCCCTCTCCTAAAAACTCTTTCCCCCAGAAAGATATATAGGGCTGGCTGGGTATGGGAAGTTTCTCACTGTTTTGAATTAATAGATTTTTTTCATTTCTTTCTCCTTTTTCCAAAACAAAACAAAAAAGTTGTTTTCGTACTAAACGACCTCTGCTTGTTATAGGGTAATTTTGATTGACTTCACTTAACCTAGGCACCTCTATCTCTGTCCTGCAAGATATAGGTGTCAGTTTCTCGTTCTTCATTTTGCTTGACCTATCAGCAACCTTTGTTGCCAGAGATTACAGTTTTAACTTTTTATTTTGAAAGATGAAATTTACAAAAGACAAATCAATAGGCCTATCTATATATAAATATAGGTAATATTTTAAAGTTCACAGTAATTACGATAATGATGACAGAAATGTCATACACTTAGTATTTGGGTTGTTTCCAATTTTTTTGCCATTACTCTCAATATTCTTGTACCTTTTTCCAAGTGCACATGTGGAAGAGTTTCTTCAAGGTCTGTCCATAGAGCACGAATTACTGGTTTCAGTAAAAGTGCCTGGGAGGCTCATTAGTCTTTATGCTGATATCCTCTCCTGCTAGCAGATATTAATAATTTTTTTATTCCTCATCTTCAGTAACACTTGGTATTTTCATCCTTTGTAATTTTGACTATTCTGGTGGATGTGAAATGTATTCTGTGGTTTTAATTTGCACTTTCCTGATTACAAATGGAGCTGAGTATTTTTTTATTTGTAAATTGGCCTTTTATCATTGCCTCGTCTATGAAGTGTCTATACATGTCTTTTGCCCATATTTCCACTGGGTTGTTTGTCCTTTACTTTTTTCTGTTATTAAAAAAGTTGTCACATTTTCAGGAAAGCTCAAAGAATAATAAAGTGAATTTCTTTATGCCTTCAACCTATATTACACAATTATTAACATTTTCCCATTTATTTTTCTCAATAATTTGAAAATAAATCATAGATATCATTATATTTCCCCCTCACAATTCAGCATATGTCTCCTAAGAATAGATATTCTCCTGTGTAATCAAAATGATGTTATTACACCTACAAAAATGAACAATAATTTA